GCATTGGGTTTAATGCACGTGAATTGTGTGAAGATGAAGGGGTTAACTGCATGCCTCCTTCGCCCAGCTCCCCCAGTTCCCTCCCCCGCCTCCGCCTGCGACTTGTCTCCCTGCGGGCCCTTCTCGGAGTGCCGCGACGTGGGCGGCATCCCCCGCTGCTCCTGCGCCCCGACCTACGTTGGCACCCCGCCCCTGTGCCGCCCCGAATGCGTTGTAAACTCCGAGTGCCAAACAAATCGTGCTTGCGTCAACCGGAGGTGCGTGAACCCGTGTACCGAGGCGTGCGGCGTGGACGCGGAGTGCCGTGTGATCAACCACAACCCCGTCTGCTCCTGCCGCGCCCAGTACACGGGGGATCCCCTCTCGATCTGCTTCCCGGCGCCTAAACGTAAGCAGCAGTTACCAGTCACCCATGAGCTGTCTGAGTCAGCCATTTGTCTTTTACTATAATTGGCCTGGTAATACGGTGTAGGTGTGTCTATTCCACGTGTTAAGTCATGTTCGGATATTTCTTCCAGCGGTTGCCCCTCCGTCCCTGCCCGCAGTAGACCCTTGTGCAGGCAGTGCATGTGGAGACAATGCCGAGTGCTCAGTGATAAGCAACTATGCAGATTGCAAATGCAAACCTGACTATTATGGTAACCCTTACGTTGCGTGCAAACCCGAGTGTGTTGTAGACTCTGACTGTCCCCGTTATCTAGACTGTGTCAGGAACAAGTGCATCGACCCGTGCCCCGGGGCATGCGGCATCAATGCAATATGCGACGTGTTGAACCACCAGGCCATGTGCAACTGCCCGACGGGTTACACGGGAAGCCCTCTTGCGCGCTGCCACCCCGCACAGGAAGTTATCAGTAAGTCATCTAAAGGGATTTCAGTCATGGTATCAGTAGGTGCTTTCATGAGGTATCTTGGGCTTGTAATGTGAAAGGCGGCATTGGAATGTTGCATTGGAAAGATTACTCATCTGGGTATTATAATGTGGTATATACATACATACATACATACATGCATGCATATGTGTGTGTGTGTGTGTGTGTGTGTGTGTGTGTGTGCGTGCGTGCGTGTGCAGACAGACAGAGAGAGAGAGAGAGAGAGAGAGAGAGAGAGAGAGAGATTCATTCTCATCGTAGTCGCCTCTCAGTCCACAAATACCCAGATGGCAGTACCCTTTCCTTGAGGCGAGTTTAGCGCGCGTTCAGAGTTACTTAGAGTTCTAATTGAGCCGCCATTGCGCCGCTGCAGCTGCACCGTCGCAGTCCACCCCCTGCGTGCCGTCGCCGTGCGCCGTGAGCGCCGAGTGCCGCGTGGTCGGGGGACGCCCTGTGTGCTCCTGCCTCCCCGGCCTCAAGGGCGACCCTACCCTCTCTTGCCGCCCCGAGTGCATCACCAACTCCGAGTGCCGCGCTGACCAGGCCTGCGTCAGCCATACGTGTGTTGATCCGTGTGTGGGTGTGTGCGGGCGTCATGCCACCTGTAGGGTGGTACTGCACGCTCCCGTCTGCTCCTGCGACGCCGGTTTCATCGGCGACCCCTACTCGCGGTGCCAGCCCGTGTCCTGTAAGATACCTTAGCATGAGTCTCACGCTGGACATTTCAGTAGTCTTAGTTTTGATTCAATTTTAGTCTTAGTTTTAGCCTGCATCTTGATCATGATGATGTATGAAAATGCACTTTTGAATTTTGCCTTTTGTCCTTATGCATTCGGATGAATTATATTCCTTTTTGATTGCAGATTTCTTAGTCTACTTTGACATTGCATTTTGCACATATTGTCTATAGTGTCTCTCCCTTGATGCATGAATGCACGTAATCAGTGTGAATGTCTGGAAGGCCATCAGCATGTTCTGACTTCGTATTCGGCTCTTCTAGCTACGCCGACGCCCGAGCCGCCACGAAACCCGTGTTCAGGCGACCCGTGCGGCCCGAACGCCGCCTGTCGTGAGATCAATCTGAAGCGGGTGTGCACCTGCTTGCCCGGCTTCGTGGGCAACCCGCCCGCGTGCCGCCCAGAGTGCGTGGTGCACCCCGAGTGCCCCCCGCTACTCGCCTGCCTCAAGAACCGCTGCGTGGACCCCTGCAAGGGCACGTGCGGCATCAACGCCGAGTGCCGCGTCATCAACCACAACCCGATTTGCAGCTGCCTCGGCGGCTTCACGGGCGATCCTTTCGTCAGGTGCACGCCCTCACCGATCTCCCAGCCGACGCCTCCGCCCGTGATAGGTCCTCCCATCACGGCCACCACACCGACCCCCGCTACGACTAAGCCGCCAATCGCCGGCACGCCCCCGTCCATCCAGGACTCGGCGATTACCCCGACGGCGGTGACCCCTGTGGGCACGCTGCCGCCCATCGTGGAGTTCCCCGAGGCTCCCGCGCCGCCTCAGAACCCCTGCGTGCCCGACCCCTGCGGCTCCAATAGCTTCTGCCGCCAGAACGGTGACCGCCACGTCTGCGAGTGTCGGGAGGGCTACTTCGGCAACCCCGAGATCGGCTGTGGACCCGAGTGCGTGCTCAGCACCGACTGCGACAGCGGATTCACGTGCGTCCGCCAGAAGTGCGTCGACCCCTGCCCGACAGCATGCGGCCGCGGGGCTCAGTGCACCGTCGTCAACCACAGGGCCGTGTGTTCCTGCCCAGCGGGTCTTCAGGGCGACCCTTACACGCAGTGCATAGTCAGTCCCATCGCCGGAACCACACCGTGTAAGGCCCGGCTCAGCGCTCTCTTTTCTTAGCATTTATAGTTTCCTATTTATTATTATATATACATATTTTCTATTGTTTTCTCGATATTCTCTGCATGTCTTTATTCAAGTATGTGCATGTGACGATATCAGATCTTTATACCTGCACTCGTATATGGAGTATGTTTACGTAAATAGACTAGTTCAGCATGTTGTGCACGTTGCATGTTGCAGCCCCCACCCCGATGCAGCCCACTGCCAAGACCCCGTGCGAGCCCAACCCGTGCGGCCAGAACGCCGAGTGCCAGCCCGTGGGCCTCGACGAGCGCTGCAACTGCCTCCCGGGCTTCTTCGGCAACCCTTACGAGTACTGCCGCCCAGAGTGCACGTCCGACCCTGAGTGCCCCTCCTACCTGGCGTGCGTGAACCAGAAGTGCATCGACCCGTGCCCCGGCACCTGTGGAATCAATGCCGAATGTCAGGTAGTCATCCACGCCCCCATGTGCTACTGCGAGCCGGGTTATGTTGGTGACCCCTACCAGTCATGTCGCCCTGAGCCAAGTAAGCATGCTTCTTTTGTATGTTGTCTTTCTTTTCAGGACTGGTATTTTGATGTACATGGAATGTGTCTTGCACTGTAGGAATACATGTATATATATGTTTGGTCATGAATAGCATGGATTCATCAGCACAAACCCATTGCACGTCCACCCTTAGAATAGTCCAAAGGAATGTCCAGCCTTTCCTCGAATTCCGTCCGACGTTGCTCCTTGTCTCACTCGCATCTGCACGTTCTAGTCACGACGCCCGGCCCCGTGGACCCGTGCAACCCCAGCCCGTGCGGCCCCAACTCGGAGTGCCGCACCGTCGGGGACCGGCCCGTGTGTGAGTGTCTGCCTGGATATTTCGGCAACCCACCTGATTGTCGACCCGAGTGTATAGTCAATTCTGATTGCCCCGTCATAATGGCATGCGTCAACAAGAAGTGTCGTGACCCGTGCGCGGGCGCGTGCGGGACGGAGGCCTTGTGTGAGGTGGTCAACCACAACCCCGTGTGCTACTGCCGCCAGGGCATGACGGGCGACCCCTTCATCCGCTGCTTCACGCGACCCATCGGTAAGTACCTCGAAGGACCCTCTCACTGACCCAGTCGCTAACACTCTCAATAAGCGCCCACTCGCCCGTACAGGTAAGTTCTTCCGTACAATAACATCGTTTAACCCCGACCGTTGCATGATTTTCAGAGCCAACCAGTCCTAAGCCCCACGAGCCATCAGACCCGTGCGCTTCCACCAAGTGTGGGTTGAACGCCGAATGCTCCTTCGCGGGAGGTCTGGCGGTGTGCAAATGCAAGGGTGATTTGATAGGCAACCCGTACCAGGCGTGCCGCCATCAGTGCACGGTCAATTCGGACTGCCTTTCCAACAAGGCATGTTCTCGCAATAAGTGCGTTGACCCGTGCTATATATATATATAATATATATATATATATATAATATATATATATATAATATATATATATATAATATATATATATATATATATATAATATATATATATATATAATATATATATATATATATATATATAATATATATATATATATAATATATATATATATATAATATATATATATATATATAATATATATATATATATATATAATATATATATATATATATATATATATATATATATAATATATATATATATATAATATATATATATATATATATATATAATATATATATATATATAATATATATATATATATATATAATATATATATATATAATATATATATATATAATATATATATATATATATATATAATATATATATATATATAATATATATATATATATAATATATATATATATATAATATATATATATATATATATATAATATATATATATATAATATATATATATATATATATATATATAATATATATATATATATATATAATATATATATATATATAATATATATATATATATATATAATATATATATATATAATATATATATATATATATAATATATATATATATATATAATATATATATATATAATATATATATATATATAATATATATATATATATATATAATATATATATATATAATATATATATATATAATATATATATATATAATATATATATATATATAATATATATATATATAATATATATATATATATATATAATATATATATATATATATATAATATATATATATATAATATATATATATATATATATATAATATATATATATATATATATATAATATATATATATATATATATATA